ATGGTATAGATAAACCACATCTTCTTGATCCATTCGTCCGTGGATGGACACTTAGGCTCTTTCCATGTTTTAGCTATTGTTGAGAGTGCTGCTATGAACATTGGGGTACATGTGCTCCTATGCAACTGATGTCTTTTTAACATTCAGGTGATACAAGGGCCTAACTGAATAAATTATTAAAATTAAAATGCTAGGAAGGGAATAAACAGGTGCTATGATTCCTGAGGAGGGAAGAAGAGAAGGTCTTCCTTCAAAAAAGGGTAGAAAGGGAAGGTCTGTCTCCAGTGACATATGGCCAAGGCGGGGGGGAAGGAGAAGGAGATGGCCAGGAGAGAAGCCTGGCGAAAGACCTAGAATGGAAGCTGAACGAGGGAAGGGATGGTTGTCAGTCCTCTTTACCATACTATCCCCAGATCTGAGAACATGCCTGGCATGCAGCAGGCACACTGCCAGTGAGTAGTGCTCAATAATGAAGTTAAAAGAGCATTTCTGGCAGAGGGCACAACAAATGTCACTGTCCAGAATTAAGCAGCACCCCGCTGTGAAGGGAAGGCAGCCGTAAGTGGAGATAGCGTGGCTGCGGTGTGGTGGGCGGGTGGTAGGGAGTAAGACGGGTGACACAGGCTGGGGGCCGGAAGACAGAGGACAGTGTCAGCCATGGTTTTTCAAAGAGGTGCCACTGATGGGTTTAGTAGACACTGGTATGACTTAATTGATTTCTTTAAAAGATCACTCTGGTTGCTGTGAAAAGAAGGTATTTTAGAGAAGCAAGAACGGAATCAGGGGCCAGAGTGCCAAATGAGACAAGAGGTAAGTGAGAGGCCTCTTGAGAGCAGTGGACGTGGTGACAGGCTGGGTTACCAGGATGAGAGGAATGGAGAACTGGGGAGTGATACAAATTCACAGCCTCCTACTTCACCAAGCAGCAGACGCCTGTTCTACTTACTGAGAAGGGAACCACAGGAGAAGAACCGGCTGCGGAGAAGGAGCATAAAAGCCAAGAGTTGTGTTCAGAACTGGTTCCCCTGAGGCATGTTGAGTGAGGATGTCAACTAGGAAGCTGGTCGCAAGAGGCTCTGCCTCAGAGGAGGCCGTCCATGACAGAGCTGTAAATGTGCAAGTCGTTTATGTAAGGACAGCAGTCAAAGCCAAGGGACAAGATGAAATAATAAGGGATGGGTCTTTGTCGGGTAATAACAGCCACGTAATCTATCACGTTTCTCTTCTGGTTGGGCTGCCAAGAAGTTCCAAACACAACATAAATCTTAAAGGAATATTTTCTTACTGGGAATTCCGGACATGATAATCTACCCCTTTTACTCTTCCTCTTCTTTACAAGGTCAGTCTTCTTACATGCTAACTCTTTAAGTCTATGTGCAATGAGAAAGGCAAAACAGAAAAAATGAGGCAGTATAGTGACAGGCCTGGGGGAGTCAGAAGGACTGGCCCCCACATTTCCTCGCCAAGTCTCCAATTACAGACATATTACCTCGGCGTTACACAGGGGGAGAGGGGGGTTGTGCCTCTCTGATCAGCTCCAAGCTCCTCAAAGGCATCAAGCCTCTTATTCATCTTTGCATTGCACTGCTGTGAAATGGGCCAATGTCCAGCTGGGAGTGCGCACCATCTGTCACCCGTCTGTAAACACAAGGGGCTGAGGCCTTGCTCTAGTACGCTAAAGCTCAGTTCTCAATTGTTTTAAACACAGCACAGTGTGTGATTAAATACCAGAAAGTAATGCACACAAATGTCAGGTAAGTTTGGATAAATCTTCAAGGCCTGGATTAGAAGACTTCAAGGAGGGAAAAAATAACAAAACTCAACTGCGTTTGGAAGATGCACAGTGTCTGGAGATGTGAAAGCATATTTCAGAAAGCAGCCAAAAAAACAGAAGCAGGAAGGAGTCCATTCTGGCTGGAGGGAAAGGATTTTGAACAACAAAGTACAGGGAGAAGAGAACTGGAAAGAACAGTGAAGACACAGAGTGGACCAATCACTTCTAGTTTTAGAGTTTCAGAAAGTTACAAACCGCTGAGAACTTAGATGTTTAATGAAGATCACATAAATTCAATCAGTAGAAAGGATAAGAAGGTAAAGAAAGTGTCATGACTTAGTCTTCTAAGCTAATAAGAATCCGATACGAAGGAGGCCGCAGGTTCCAAACAGTGAGTCCACCAAACCGTGGTGAGTGATGTGCTGCGGAGAAAAAGAGCTCATGAGATTATAACCGAGCATCTGAGACCACTGGGTCAGCAGATGAGCAGTATGCTCCACAGAAATGCAGGCAGCAGGAGGAAGGGATTTTTAGAAAAAGATGGTACCTTTCACTCTAGGCAGAGTAAGTTTCAGATGACAGCGGCCACTCCGTTTCCAGGCCCCTACCCCTTGCCTCACAACACGTATGCGATCTGCTCCAGTCCTTGTGGGGAAGAATTTTCCTAAGTAGTATTCTCACAGAAACACAATAGAGAAAATCCTCCATACATTATAATCTCTCTATGGGTACAAAAGCAAATGTGAATGTTATGTTTATGTAAAATCATAAACATAAAAATAAAAGAAGTGGCCAAAACGGTCTACTTCTACAAAACACTGAGTTCACATTTGGACATTTAAACCAAAAAATATTGTTATGGGAAAAGATGCTCAATATTGTTTAGCCACGAGAGAATTGCACATTAAAACCACAATGAAATACCAGCATACTATGAGAATAGCTAAGAGGATTTTTTAATCTAATGATATAACAAGTAATGACACGGGTGGAGAACAACTGGGACTGTCCTACACGGCTGCAAAACCCAACAACCTCCACTTTGGAAAACACTTTGACAGTTTCTTATCAAATGAAACTTGTATTTTGCCTATGACCTCACTTCCTAACCCAAGAGAAACAAAAACATACGACCCCAGACAAATACCTGTGTGCAAATTTATAGCAGCTTAATTTTGTAATCACACACTTGGAAACTCCAATGCGTATCACCCAACGAACAGGTAAACAAACTGTACCACAGACCTCCACACAATGGGAAACGGCTCCGTGATGTAAAGGAACACACTTCTGGTACAGGCAAAACCATGCATCAGCCTCCATAGCATACTGGGTGAAATAAGCCAAGGCACACAAGGCTACATAATGAGCAACTGTATTTACAGGATATCCTGGAAAAGGGAACACTACAAATATTTTGGATTTTGTTTATGGTGGTAGTCACAAGCCATTTGTCAGAAGTCATAGAAATGTACATTCACAAAGGGTGAAAAAGTCATAGAAATGTACATTCGAAAGGGTGAATTTTCTGGCATCAAAGTTACTCAATAAATTGAACTTTAAAAAAAGACAGCATTTTAACATTTGCTCCATGACAACTGTTAAAGTGTAACATTATCATCTATGGTAACTCTGAAAACTTCTAGACACTTCTTAACTAGCTAGAATACTACAAATGTGCTGAACAATGAAAAGAAATAAACCCTATGCTTTCTCCCTCTTTAGGCCTCCGGACGTTCCTATGCAAAGAGAGGGTGTGAGAGTGTGAGTGAGTGTGGCCACGCTGTGCGAATGCTGGTTATTGAGGAGCGAATAAAGTGAGTCTTGTTTGCCGGACAGCTGTCGGCTCCCTGCTCTTCCATCACACACTCAAGCGGGGAGCTCTTACGCTCACGGGATGTGGCCCTCCCATTGGACAGCTGTTACCTCATGCCGGGAAACACTGCCCAATGAGCCCATTCTCAGCACACACCATGAAGAAAACGGCAAAAACAAAAACGACAACAAAAGACCCAAGAAATGCTTATATAAAGTACATATATACAAACTAAGCTATGCTACTGAAAATCAGATCAGTCCTAAGAAATATTTCTCAATATTTAACATTCCAGATTTTCTTTTCTACGAGTCTCATTTCGCCTCATCTTTGTATCCTTAGCATTCAACCTCGGAGTCCAAATATACATATATTTTTACTTTTCAAAAGACATTTTGATTGAGCATGCTTTGATTACTAATTCCATACAATTATGAGAGTAATGATTTTACCTTCTGGATTATCAAATGCCCAACTAGGTACTTTGCCATTTCACAGTTTGGTCTTCAATAAGCCATTTTCACTTGAACAAGGGCTTTCAAATTCTTTTGACCATTAGACATATTTTCCATTGCCACCCAGTACAGAGAGGTGTGCATGCATGTGCAAGCAACACAGAGGTTTTACAAAATAAGCCTTATACTTACTACATAAGATGTTCTCTATTATTTCCTTTTGCATTAGAGTCCTTAAAATGTTGTCAAATATCCACCCAATCCATATCATGACCCACAATTTTCAAAAATCACTGCCCCAGAAGATGCAAAAAATAATAACATTTCTGCCTGTTTTAAACACAGGCTTTCAAAAACTCACTTAACTATTTGTTTTTAAACACATTAGTGACCTTCCCTGAGGCTGACGCACAAGTCACCACACTCTGTTGTCCCTGGGGGGTTCCCAGCTGGCTGGGGTGAACAGCAGAAGCGGAAGGGACGGTCAGAGCCCAGGCCCCCGCTGCCCCCCCAGCTGCCAGCCACTACGTGTGCATGGGGGAGGCCTCAGCCAGTGGACGCCTACAAATACTGGGGACTTTATTTCTTTCCGTTTAACCACATTGTTATTCCTTAACCTCTTTAACCTCTAGACACAGGCAGGCGCACACAGAATAAAAGAGAATCCCGCCACGTCGGAAAAGGGTTGCAATAGAGAAGGAAGTAAAGCAGTCTTTCCTGAACATGCGTGCATTTCAGTTACGCCTGCTGTGCTGATTTTCCAGAACCACAGAGAGCAGAACAAGTTTAAAGGGCTGAACTGGCATGTAAATCACACACACAAAGTATTTTCAACTACCAAAAATTTTGAGTTTTTAAACTGCCAGTCAATATTCTATTCTACTATCCCACACTGAAAATGGTGGGTATTTGTGATAATCAAGAGGAAATTTTATATGAAGACTAGAAAACTTACTTTTAAGGACTCCCACAAGGGAAACTGGACCAATGAGAAAGGAATCTGAAGAGAAAAAAAAAAAAATTAAATAAATTAGGCAGGAAAGATCAGAGTTTGCTTAGCACTACTATGTGAACCTGTAATAATTATTTAGAAACCTTAGTTCATTTTAACTTTATGTATATAATAAAGCTAACATTGAATTTATAGGTGCAGTATATACAGTTTTCAGAAAAAGAGTTAACTGGTAACTGCCTGTAGAGTTCTACTAACTTTCAGAGCCCAAGGGACATAAAATGATGATTTGAAACCCTTTTGAAACAGAAAGAGAAGCACAGTACAGAGATCTGGCTACTGAAAGGACAAAACAAATGTTTCCTATCACAACCAAGAAAGACTTTAAAGACTTGACATTTTTCTACTGAAGAGCCAGAACTGCCTACTCTTTAGCAGGCCAAGTGTTCGTGTTTAAAATACAAATATGGAGGTGAGCCTGGGTGGCTCAGTCCGTTGAGTGTCTTATTAGGTCATGATTTCGCTGTTCATGAGTTCGAGCCCCATGTTGGGCTCTGTGCTGAGAGTTCAGAGCCTGAAGCCTGCTTCAGATTCCCTCTCTTTCTGCCCCTCCCCGACTCACGCACACATGTCTGTGAGCTCTCTCTCTCTCTCAAAATTAAATAAAACCATTTTTAATTAAAAAAAAAAAGTAGAGAAAGGGAGCAGGATTGGGGAAGGAGGAGACGGTGGGTGGGGGGAGAGGGAGGCAGAGTGAGATGGGAGAGAAAAGGAGGGTAAAGGAAGAAGAAAAGAGACGGGAGAGGAGGAGGGAGGTGAAATGGGAGAGAAGGAGGGGCCCAGAGGGAGAGGAAGAGGAGAAAAAAGGAAGAGAGGGCGAGTTAAGGGGAGGAGGAGCAGGGGTGGAAAGGGGAGGCAGGAAACCAGAGAGGAGGCAGAGAGGAGGTGCACAGAGCCACTTACAGGAGGAAGCGGAGAAACAGAGACGGAGGAAGAGGCCAGCGGGCGGTGGGAAAGGACAGCGTGTCAGTGGTGCAGGGGCCCAGGAGCACAGCTGGGCCTGGGGGCCGGCCCTCCTCAGGGCAGGCAGGGAGAGGAGCATCTGCAGTGGCCAAGTGAGGCTGAAGATGATCTGCACTCACAGGAGTGGAGTATTTGCAGTCAGGTGGACAGCAGTATGAGCTAGAATGACCAAGCTCTTCTCACCTATCAGGCACTGTGCTAATGAGCACTTCCTAAGCTTTGCTCCACACATCCCAGCAACCCTGTGAGCCAGGGAGGTTTTTTACTCTCCCCACGTTATAGGTGAAGGGGAGGTTCCTGGAAGCTGTATCACTCGACGGGAGACACCTCAAGAAGTCCAGACAATCTACTCTGCCTGAAAGACCTTTTAGTGCATTCATCTGCACGTAAATTCACCCACAGTAGAATCTGTTTGCTTCAATGACAGTTTCTATAATTTGAAAACAGAACCACACCTTCCTATTTCCTAAGACAAAAATACCTCAACTCCAGTGAACACCACCCACTAGTCTTGGTGACATCCCATCACTGGCCAAAAGGGCATGGACCCACTACTGGTTTCTATACTCCGCTAATTGAAAGTGAAGAGTAAAATGTGGACTTTGGACAGTATCAATACACTTATGGGTGTGTGAGTGCATGAAGTAGGTGTGTGCCAGAGACCATGTTTTTGAAGGCACTAATGAGTATTTGCCTTCACACAAATTGAGGGCACTAAATTACTTCTGAAGTATTTCTATTTAATCACAAATTAAAAGTCTAGTATCATCTTCCTTACTCTACTGGAGCAAATGATGGCCATGAGTTTCGGAATGAACACAGAGGAAAAAAAGATCTGTCCTCCGTTCTGGCAGGAAATGGAAGTAAGAAAAAAAACTGATGGCAACAGGCTAGTTTAGGCTGACAAAGTAGAATCTCAGAGAAGTTTGCTGTCTTCAGAGTAAGCAGCACCCCACACTGGATGTCAAAATTCCACAACAGGGGTGACATTTAGTTTAGTTTTTGTTGTCACCAAAACGTGAAAGCATCTGTCAAAAAGTCCATTCTGAAACTAAAGTGCTATATTTTTCAATTAAACTATCAAACCCCCCAAACTGACTATGTAATAGTTTTCTAAAAGCTTTTCTAAGTTTCAAAAAAATTTACAGTATGTAATAAAACACCCAAGAGGGCTGTAACAAGTACTAGGATTATAATGACTTTAATTTTCTTCTTTGTACTCTCCCATCCCAAATGTAAATACTTCACATTTTAACAAGAATGCAAATATTTCACATTTAAAAGAAAAAAAAAGCCTTATAACTTACTGTAATGGTCATGGTAGCATTCTTTACTTCTTGATTAAAATAACCTGTAAAACTTAATTCTACGTCATCTGTACATTTTTGGTCCTTAAAAAGTAATATTAGATTTTGAATCCTGTCGATGTACATTTTGCCCATTTTCCTCTATTAAAAGTTATTCATTAAATTGTTCCTTCAAATTTAAAGAACTAATGTAAAAGTCACACAGTTGGAATGGCCAAACTATTCCATTGGGTATTTATCTTAAAAAGTTGAGCCGACAGTAAACCCCAACTTTACTCTCTAAAACAAGATTAACTGACAGCCTGAGGTAATTAAATGCACTGTAAATGCTTAAATAATTAAATTTATTTCTGGTTTCTGGTAGTGAAATATCCCTTGTAAGATAAACTCCTGATGTGCAAAAATTTTTCAAATATTCATCAAGTCCAGATCCCAGTGAACGCTTTCTGTCATTTACGAGAGGAACAAGCAACAAGGGAAATGTGCCACGCACATGCGGAAGGAGGGCCGCCAGCAAACAGGGCTCCGCGGCTACAACAAACACGGCTCCAGGCTGCCCCAGAACACGGGCCTGTCAAAGAGCTCGCTCCCTGCCCATGTCTGGTCTGGAGTTACATAACAGTGATGTTTCTTCAACACGTGGAATTTTAAACCCCAAACAGATGTAAGCTGTTATTCTAAAATGGTTTATAGATGAAGAAAATGAATAGCTGTACTCAGAGGTCTTATATTCCAAAACACAACATACTCATTTTATTGCGCCGAAACTTACAAAATGGCTCACTGTTGTGACCTTTTTAATGCCTCCATTTAAGATGTTTTGTTTGAATAAGGCTGTTAGGACCCAGGGCACTAATAAGTGAGCGGCAGTAAACCTAGCTACCATCAAAGAGGCAGATGCAGAGGGGGAAAAATCTGCTAAAATTCAACATGGACTCCACTGAGTAATAAACACAGTAATAACTCTATACAAGAGGGCATGTGAGGATTCCGTGCGATGTAGACAAAGTCAAATATAGGTGTGGTGAACAGGGGAAGAAGTGTTGGGCATACTAATGAACTAATTATGAACATGCTTCACCTCTCATCAAGTAAAGTCAATCAATGCTTTGAGCCTTGTGACCTTAAAACAAGTGTCCCTAATCTTACGGTCGTTAAAAACTAATGAAGTGATTTATAACAAATCGAGGTGATATAGAGATATGATATCTAAGGTATTATTTACCTCCAAAATTCTATTTTCCAGTGGAAAAATCTTATTAGCATACCAACATTTTTTTAAAAAGTAAGACTTGATTATAAGCTACAAGGAACACAATACTACTATGAATGATCTAGGAATCATAAGACTAAGAAAGTGTATTTTAAAAGCTGTGAAAGCTATTGTACCTTGGCAGAAATAACTCCCAAATTCTCTAGCAGTAAGACAAAAAAAGAAATCAAACTTTTTGCTAAGATCTCAAATTAGAAGGGTTCATCTAGCAGGGGACTGATATCCATCCTGCCATGGATATCACAATCAGTCCAAGAATTGGCCCATTCCAACTTTCAAGGGACCTACATGTGACCCAAAGAGATTCTCCGTTTTGTTGTGTGACAGCATCCAAATTTTTGTGATTGATTTAGGGTTTTCCACTTCAGTGTTGCACTGGTAACAAAGCCATTCTCCTCTTAAATACGCTGGGCTTTTTCCCATTCAACCACAAGGGTAAAAAAGGACAAATCAAGTTGAAGACTTAAAACCTTGTGCCTCAAAGTAACTATTGTTCCAAAATTTTTAATGAAACAAAAAAAGTGAGAGCTATTTAAAGCTGGCCTAGGGCTAGCTAGCATTTGACAGCAAAGAATTCTAACAGTAAAAATACATTGATTTTTCAATTGAACAGCCATTATCCATTTATGTGCACTGTATACAGAGAATAGAACATACACCTAATAAAGGAAATTAACCTAAAAGTAGGAAAAATTTTTAAGTGAATTATTCCGGAGGTTTGTAAGAGATAATTTAAGTCCTAAAACAGCTTTCCGAAAAAGCACAAAATGGACAAAAGAACATCAAAATCGAATACAGAAAAGGAGATGCATGTGAGCAGTTTGATTCTTAAGTCAGTCTTTTAGAACTAAGCCAGGAGCTTTGAGGATATCACCAATCACTAACTCCATGTGCTAGGCACAGCAAGTCCTTCGTGAATGTTAGCACTGAAGACAATGATCAGGTGTTCTTCCTCTGCATTCTACAGAATCATCCTAGTAACTGTGTCTGGGTGGGAAGACTTTCCAGTAGACCCATGTACATGTGAGTATGCCAGTCACACAGCACCATTCTATAGCGAAGATAACAGCCATGTCAAATCAGTCCATAGCCCACTACACTTCTGAACTAAAATCAAGTTTCACTGTTTTCACAAAGTGAAAAATATATAGATTTGACATCATTCATGATTTAAAAAAATGTTTTTTTTTTTTTTAAAAAAAGCTCATTAAGGTAAAAATACAAGGGAACTTACTCAATCTGATGAAGAACTACTAAAAACAAATGTGAGTATAAATGTGTATATACATCTAACACCATTCTTTGTGGTGAAAGACTTGAATGCTTTCCTCTTAAGATTATGTACACAGCAAAGATGTCTGTTCTCACTTCTGTTCAGCACTACACTGGAGGTTCTAGTCAGTATAATTAAGCTAGAAACAGAAATAAAATGCATAAAAATTGGA